TTGGTACAGGCCAAGACAGCACCAGGGAAGAGTTTTCCACTGTGGATCCATACCCTGGCCCTGATAAGATTATTAATAGAGATGCAGCCTTTAGGCCATGCTTGTTGGATCTTTGCTTCTACCACAGGATTCTTGTTTTCCTGGATAGTCATAATTGTACGTGCACCTTGAAAATATTCAGCATGTACCTTGAAAATATTTTCCTGAGAGCATGACTTCATTGGCTCTTCCTTAAACAGTTGGGGCTCAAGTTGAAGAGGCCTTAACTCTCTAGGAAGTGTGCTAGACTTCTCGAAGGAATGAATTCTGAAGTCATGATCAAACCTCATTAGAGATATGCCACATCTGTAACAATGTCTCATCTCTTGCAGATTCTTAAATTCCCTTAATTTCCTCTCAGTAATGCTGCTCCAAGATGGCTTTGTACTGAGGCACAGCTTACCTTGACTACCTGCATGCAAAAGATTATTTAGCAAAGTAGTTATCTGTCTTCAGAAATGTTGGTCTCTTCATACATCTATATATGCAGACCTGTAGTTAGGATGGATTGGAAGTACTGCAGGAGCAACATCTTCATCATGTTGGCACTTCTGGCATAATAGATTCAGGCAGGCCTTCATCAGACTTTTTACCTCCTGTTGTTGAAATGGCAGGCATTCCAAACAATTGATTTTTGGATGGGTATCGCATGTCTTCAGGATTCTCTTTACCATACCATAAAGCCTCTGCTTCTTCCCAGTTTGTATCAGTGTAGGTTTGTATCAGTGCAGGTGAGACAGGACAAACTGGAGGACCCCCTTATGGTGGAAGGTAGGCCTCCTTATCTCAAAGGCCCAGGGGTGTTTTGGAGGGAGACTCAAGAACTCCTTAAAAGTTCCTGACATTTCAACCCGTTCTTAACACTGCTGCTAACACGTAGCTGTTGTCTCTTACACAGCTGGTAGAGCCCTTCTGCAGCACACAGACTTCCTTCCTCTGATTTTCTCTATCTGCAGGGAGGCCACATCCCTCATGCCACAGACAATGAGTACCCAGTCATGCCTCCAAACCAGCGTTACCAAAAGTTGGAGATGTTGAAGCGTACCCTCCCTCCATCCCCTTCTGAAAGGGCCTTTGCTTTTTAAGTTCAAGATAGAAACCCGGGTTTTGCCTTTCACAAAGCCTCCCTAGTGACTTCGGCTGGCTCTTCTTCCTTAGACATTCTTCTCTGCCTAGACTAAAAATCAAGCAAAAATCCCTCCACCTGTCTTCTGCAGCCTAGCTCTCATATCCCACACTACAAGGCCAGCTCTCAAGAAGCAGAAATGGAAACATAAATACAAAAGGGAAGGCCTAGCATGAACAGTCCTGCACACACTGCCAGCCCCTATAGGTAGTTGTCAGTTTTGTTGTGTCTTCCCCAGGGGCACTGAGCAGAGCCCTCCAGCTAGCAACAACAGGAACAATTCACCCACCATCTCCAGGCTAAACTTCTGTGGCTCTCAAAAAAAAAAATCAGAGAATCTGCAAGCTTGCGGACCACTGTGCTATGGACCAGCGGTCGGGTAGTTAAGTATCTGAAGGATCTGCAGCTGCCCAGACTGGAGCCACAAGCTTTACTTAACTTTGCTCTTTTTCTGTCTCTGGTAAATGAGGATTTGCCAGGAGTGTATATGCATAAAGTGTTTTGTTTTTATTTCTTCCTTTTTGTCCCCTATGACCATTTTCAGATGGCAGCGGGCAATCTTTGTGTAGCTGCAAGTGGCTAACCTCCAGTCTGAGCTGACTTACAGCAAATCAGCAGTTGAGGCCCAGCAAAGAAAAATGTGGACTGTCAGATGATCAGATTTGTCTTTGTGACTTTGTCACGCACATGTCAAGAGTACGAATTGTCTGGTGAGCTAAACTAAGCGACTGGTTATTGTAGTGAAGTTCTGAGTTGCTGTGGTCTTGAAGATGGGTACTAAGGGTTGGCTTTTTCAGTGAAGCTTTGTAGAGCCACTGGAGAGGTTAAATTTCACCAGATTCCATTACCACAGATCGGGTGCCTTTTTGCCCCCTTCAGACTGTCACAGTAATTGAGACTGAAGGTGATGCGTGAATAACTCACAGTGGCTGTAAAGTGAAGGGACGAGATTTTTTCAAGCTAGATATAAAAAAACCCACCCATGTTTTTCATCCATAGTGTTAACTTGTCTGATCCGTTTACTTCTTCGTACATGAATAAGCTCTGATCAGCATTGTGGGAATCTTCTAGTGGAACCGAGTCTATCTGTCTATCCAAGGTAAAAACACAGTGAGATGCATCACCAGTCCTGTCGATAGAGTCTGTGGCATTCCCTTGCATCCTGGTGGTCTCTGCAAGCAGGAGTTCGTGGGAAGGTGAACTCATCTTTGACCTGGTAACTGTAATGCTGTGCTGTCTGGACTACCTGCCTCTATGTCATGTGTACAGCCCTGCTGTTTCAAAACTTTCAGATATCACAGGCAAGTCTTTACAGAGATGCCTCACATGCCCTGTGTCTTTTAATACCACTAAGTTTGTGCTGTGATGTTGCCCGATGATCAAACCTGAAGCCTCTGGAGTACTGGAATTTAATTTCTCAAATTCCAAGTCTCTGGAGTACTGGAATTTAGTTTCTCAAATTCCAAGTCTCTGGAATAGTGATACTGCCAGGAAACGTGATATTCAGAAGACAATGTGTATGAATTGCTGAGATCTGGGCAAAGTTATAGAAGACCCGAGAGGCATCCAGTCTCTCAAAAAGCACAGAAAGACCACTTCCCTTGCAAAGATCATGAGGTGCTCTCATGAGGTATGGTTGTTTTTCTCCAGTTTTCACCAATCACAGTAGGGTTATTTTCCTGTAATTGGTGGGTCGGCTATATCTACGATGTGTTAGTGTATCAGGTAAGGTGGCACCAAATTCTACTGCAGCATCATGCCATCCTGGCTAGCTTGAAATTTATTGCACACGCGTTCTCGTGCACAGTTGAATTTTTTTCCTCCTAAACAGAACAGTAGACCTTCACTTTTCGATTTCTCTAACTGGTTTGCTGGGTGACGTAGTTTTGCTGACTGTATTTTGTAGTTGATTCTGTGGTAGCATTAACAGTTTGCTTCCATCACTTTGTGGCATATGCTTCTAAGAAGCCTTCGTGCTACTGATGGATGGATCCCAGTTACAGTTTGTGCTTGATCATGTTTTCATTTGAATTCTCAATAGGTACAGGGGTTTGAAATACTACTACAGTAGCCTTAGCTGAAGGCAGACTTCATTAGCCTGCCAATCTTTCAGCAGATGACCAAGTTATTTACATGCTTACATTTAAGAGGTATCTTAAATAAATTTACAAATAGAACAATAAAGTGCATGAAAAATCTCAAAATGTCACTGTAGACCTTAAAGTCGCAATATAATTGAAGAATCAAAAAATCTTTCTTAAAACTCCACATAATTTCAGCCCTCAAGGGAAGCAACTGCTGGTTTGGGGGACCAGTTCCTTGTGTTAAGTCATACCAATATTACAGTGTTGATATTTTTAAATTGCTAATCATCATTTTAAACAATTACAGAGGTATTTTTTTTTAGAGCACACATTAGAATTAGGGTTCCAAATATTGATGGATTTCATTAATATAATTCAGCTACCATACGTACTGCTGAGTTTCTATACAAGAAAGAAACACGGGCATGTACATTCCGATCAGGTCATTCCTTTCTGCTCTGAAAAATATACACGGTTGAAATGAAGACAGTTTCACTAATGATGTGGAAAGACAGAAGCACTAACTGCTTGGGACATCTTCATTCCTATTAGAGAAGGCAGAAAGAGGAGAGAAAGCATTCTATTTTTATTCATAGCTATACTGTCAGTCATCATGAAATCTACCTTTTCTTAAGAGCCTGGAACCTACAAGGGTTCACAGTTTGGGTGGTTAGTAGTAACTAGCAGAACTATATTCCTGTAATCTGACATGACAGGCTACAATTTTAAATGCACATATAGTCACAGTAAACGTATATGGCTAATGAGAATTGGAAGGAATAACTGAATTGTTAGTGTCATAATAATGTCTTACGTCTTTACAATTTACTGCTTAGTTCTTTTTATCTTCAAGGATGCCCCAGGTAATAAGGGATGTTTCCGGGCAGGCAATGTATTCTTGAGCGTGTCATGCCTGCCACAACAGGGTTTGAATCTTGATATATACCAGTGCACAGGAGTGCCTTAAAGGGTAGAGAGAAAACAGGAAAGTTTTCAATTCCAGATGTTTCAAAAAACTGAAAGCAAGCATCTAAACGCCTTATTACTAGTTAAAGACTACAAGAATAGAGCATACCTGAAAATAAATGTACCAGCCAGCAGTTGTACATAGTAATCCTGCAGAAGAGCATTTTTTGGATACTCATGCTATTCCTTTTGATGCTTTAAATTTTCTAGTAACTGCCTGAATCCTTCCAATCAAGTGTGTGTGCTATTAGGGTGTCTGAAAAAGGGTTCTCTCCTGAGATGCCCACCCAAATTCACATGAAACATTGTCCTTAAACCACAGTTTGACTAAACAGCAGCAGCAGATTGAAAAAAACAAAACCCAAACCTAAAATCCAAGATAGCAGATGGTAAATCTCAAATTGCATGCTTTAAGTAACAACTATGTGCCTTGAAAGGAAAAGAAGCTTGCACCTAAAATTATACTGTGCTGTCTGCTTTCACAGCAAGAAGACATTTTTGGATGACTTTTTTTTTTTTTTTGAGATGTACTTTTTTTTCTTTGCACTTCATCTAATGACAGTTTTGTTCTTAAGCTGCTATTAAAGGGCACTTTATATTTGGCAATCTGGATATCAGAGACGAGGACATGGCATTATTCCTTCATTTTGCCTGAATGTTTTAACTTTCAGTTTTTTAGCTTTTAATACTGCTTACAAAGTAAAGGGGGAAGGGGGGGAGAATATGTATACTTTAATCAGGTTTGGTTTAGACCACATAGAATAACACATTAGAGAAAAAAGCAATTACTTAAAAATAGTTGTATTTATATTCCACAATTTGCTCAAATACTGTTTGTTTGGTTTTTTGGTGCTTTTTTTTTTTTTTATAAACTTTCTACAGGATGTTTTAAAACAAGATCTTCACATTGCTTGTCAACTATGTACTTATGGAATTTGAGGGAAATAGTTCTGGTTGTTTTTACAGTTTAACACATATACAGTACCAAAACGATGGTGGTTAGTCACATGCAGTCCATATGAGATTCTAACATAACATTTAATGAATTTTCTGATGTTGACCACCCCTTTGATGCTGAAGGTAATGCATCTGTAGAAAGCAGTGACTGTAGATTTGGGTTACTGCTCTCTGCATCTTCCAGTTTTTCAGTGTTGTCTTCCCAATTAATGTGGAATCTCGTGACTCTGGGATTAGATGCCAAAATATTCCTTTGAAGCTGAGAGAGAAGAAAATACATGGATTATGTAACGTGTGCATCTCAAACTAGAGTTCACATTCATATAGATTTTTTTCCTTTTACTCCCCATAGACTTCTATGTGTAAAATAATTTCTTTTAAAAGGGAATTCATATAAATATGGATGTATAGCTACTATCTATTATAGATCAGAAACATGCTTACAGAAACACACCACTTGTTCATTTACTCTAATAGCCTACTGAGCAAAGCAACTGCTTTCTTAAGAGGGGATTTTTAAGTGTTATGAGTTCAAGGATATATGAGAACTCTGCAAGTCAAGTGCAGGTGCTTATTATTTTAGGCAGCTTTTAGTAAAGCAAATGACTATCCCCACAAAAATTCTGCAAACCACAGTACTTCATAAAATTCTGCATTAACTTTATATTGTTTGCAATAATTGTATCAATTCCATCAACGGTCTGTCTTCATTTAAGAGTACAACCTATCCTTAAATTAAATTACCATGCTTTAGATTGATTTCACTAGCTGAATTTTAATTTGTCTACTAAAGTAAAAACATCACTTAGAATTGGAATATATTAATATTGTGGCAGTGGACATGCCTAGACATTAGTCATGTATTTTATTCTCACGGCTGACCTTCATTTTCCTTTGAAAACATGCTGTATTTGTTTATGTATGCAACAAAAAAAGAAGCAGCTCACTTTCCCTTAATCTTTCACGATTCTCAAGGTAACATATAGTTAACCAGAGGATGGCAACTTATCACTGCTGGCCATTCATTATGAAAGTTAAGACTGATCACAGGAAAAGTTTGCTTTGGTAGTAATGCTCATTTTATTCTCCAAGGAAGTGCACTCCCATTAAATACTTCCCAACCCCGTATGCAAACTAACAAGACCATTTCTTTTTTTGAACCTAATAGATCTATTACCCATCAATTGATCAGTTTAATAACCTACTACTTGTATGTTTAAATCTGTCCCAAAGTCACATTAAGGACTTTATACAAATACATGATAGCTTTTGCTGTTCTTCATAGAAGCAGAGCTAGCTTTTTATATAAGCAGAGAATTAAAACAAGTAGTTCTAGGCATTTCTAAATTGAAGTGCTTAAAGGAAGTCAAGATTCTGGCATTCACACCCCATAATAACAAATAAGTATATGATTTAAATGAAAGATTATAAATTTAAGAATATTCAAAATTAACTGTAATTTTGAATTTTGAAAACATGTTGAGCATCTGATCCCTGAAAATTAAGTTAAGCATAGAAGATCATTAGCGACTTTTAAAAACCAATTTACATACCAATTCAGTTTAGTTAAATTTGAAGATCAGTTTTAGGGACTATGGGGATTTTCACTCTGTACCAGTCTTTACAGTACATGCATTATCCTATTAATTTCTTCATATAACCGGTCATATAATTAATGAAAACTTGAGAAATAACATTTTTTCACCATCACACAACTTTGAAACATGAGTACACGTGTACGTCAGCTTTCATAAAGAGAAAACCAAACTCCACAAAATATTCCATGAAAACAAACCCAGATGCCGTGTAGAACCTTGTTGGTTTATAGAGAATATTCCTGGGTAGAGTATTTCACAAGATTTTTACTAGGTTTTGATGTTCAATCAATCCTTCTCCTCAAAGTATTAGGTTCAAAATAATTCTGTTTCACATCATCTTGAAATTCTAGTCCTGGTTTAATTTTTACCATGAAGGATATTTATTTTTAAAACTTAGTCGGTATGCTTCCTTGGTCAAGCTGTCCATTGATCAGATCATCATCCAACCTGTTCTTACCAGGCTACCCATCATCTCTCATTTTATATATAACTTGTTCTTCAGTTTGGTTGTTACTGTTTTGCAGAAACTGCAGCTCTTAACACTAAGGGAGCTGGATAACAACTGCGTTAAATTAAAACCTAGTTCCAGGTTGACTGTCTTAAAAAAAAAAAAAAACCAAAACATTACTCTGTTTTTTCTGAAGAACAGAGCCACTTTGTGGTGCAGGTATAGGGAACCCAACAGTTTATTTCACAGTCAGTGTAAAATAATAATGAAGCCCAGCCAAGCCTTCAAGCTGGTGGAAACTGCTGCAGGTTTCTCAACGTTCTCCAAATTTATGGCAACTACATGGCACTTGTAGTTTGTCCCCCCAAGTCTTTTCCATTTTTTGATGCACTTTAAGGAATCGCTTGGGGTTTGGTTTTGTTTCTTTAAAAACCTCTTTCTGTAAGCATACCTTTGATATATGACTAAAACAAAATGTGCCTTACCTTAGAAAAATCTGGCTTTACTGGTGGATTCTCTCTTAGTTCTGTTTCCGTATATTCATTGTTTACATAGTAGCCGACTCTAATAAATTCTTGACCTCGATAGGTGCATGTAATTAGCACAACTGTTACACCTACTGCATCTGCATCTGGAATAAGCCCTGGGTTAGGTGCATCAGCCTAAATGTGAAAGGGAAAGATGGATTAAAATAAAATTGATACCACATGCCTATCTAGCAGGGGAATCTTAAGTAGTATGTTTTAGCAGCTGAGTAGTGACTGCATTTAAAATTGTTCTTCAAGTTAACCAGAAAATATACCTGCTTTCACAACAACATCAACTCTGAATTTAGGATACGATCCTCTAGAGACAGAATTATTTAGAATACAGTAATACTGTGTGCTGATATTTCTCATGGGTGATTAGACAGCTTTGATCCAAAACTGCTTTTAAATATATGATCAGCTGAACTCTTGTTCCAGCAAGTGTACTAACATCCCTCCAATTCTACAGTGCCATTGTTCTCCAGCCCATCCTGGTAATTTAGTAGAGTAAGAGATGGGTTTGGGATTTTTTTTTTTTTTTTGGTATCTCTGAGGTTGAATTGGTCTGTATGTGTGTTTTTAACAAGACTAAGCCCTTAAAAATACAGACTGCAATTCATAATTCAGCAAGAAGAGCAGGGACAGGCTACAGTGAGGTTTGAGCTGTCCCACAGATTTCTAGGAAGGAAATAAACTATTTTCTCTTGCCTCCTTCCACATGCCTACGTTTGTTAAAACGTATGCAGTTAGATGCATCATTGCTCTAAGACATCTGACATTTTCAGCCAGAATGCAATCCTAATTAACAGGCAACTCTTATAATCTTCCTCAATATCCTTACTTAATGTGGCTCTGCAGTTACTAATAATCAATAAAATTCACCTTGTAAAACGTGGCTCACATCAGTCCCTTAAAATGCTTCCTAACTACACATTTATTGATAAAATGTGATGCCTCATTTTGCTGTAGAATTTAAAGTAACAGCAATCTAAGCATAAAGGAAACAGCTTCATATTTACAATTTTACATGAATATCCGAAGCCAACAACAAGCACCTGCGTTGCAAGTACAAGTTGGTATTAACAGTGTATGTTAGAATGGTTCAGGTGTAACAATTCTTGCCTAAGGCCAAATAGGATTAATTCCTGCTATCCCTTTCATCTCTTCTATTTCTGTAGTATTTGTGTGCTCCAGTACAGTGAAATTTAGGAGCTAGTGGTCATGCAGCATTGGCTTCTCCTCTTTGCTACTTCAATGCTAAGCCTTCAAACCAGACTAGCTTTTTTTAAGAAGCTGTAGGCACTTTGCAGAAGAATTAGTCAAGTCAGACCCTTCAGATACAAATACACCCGGGGAAGAGAAGCAACCAGGGAATCAGGTAGAACACAACTTCCTCCAGCCCTGAAGGGAACAGAAAATGTCCAAATGGCTTTACAGCTTGCACAGGGGAATAGAGAAGATGACCAAAGAATAGGCCAAGTGTAGGAGCTTGAAGAAATCACAAGAACTGCCAATATAGGTGAAATCACTACTTTAATTCAGTAGTCTTGTTCTAACAGTGCCCAGAACCATCTGATTACTTGAAACTCCACAGTGGGCAGTTACAGACTAATGTATTGCAAGAGGACACTGTTCGACTTAACCCTCCATGAAACAACTCACAGACTAACATGGGATTCTAGTTCTTCCAGGTTCCCATTGTCATTTTGTGTACTGTAATATCCTACAATACAGCTGTGATCTCAAGGAAACAGTCTAGTTTAATCCTACTTAACTCTCAAGCATTGTTTTACTGAGTAGAAAAGACACTGAATGGTGTTTAAAACTATTTTTTCTCAAATTTTGAACTTCCTGTCTTGGATGTCAAACCTCTTAATTGCCTGGGAAATAAATGATCATACACAGGTAAAAGAAAAAAGAGCTTGGTATGATTAAGTGATAAGTGAGCAGTTGCAAACAGGTTATTTTCATAGGCAAAGAAGCAGTACATTAACTTTTACATAAAAATCACTGTCGAATGCTAGAAATTGAGTTATTTCATAAAATTCTTAAGTAATCTATATGTTGTCTTGAATTACCTTGCTTTTCCATGGGATACATTTATTCACATAGCTATTATTGCACAGTAGATAGCTAAGGTCACATCCCCACTTAAAGATAGTAAATTATGTGCTTGTATTCTCAAAAAGAAGTTTCTGTGAATTTATTATAAATCCCCAAGTGCACAGACAGAAAGAATCAGGTTTCATTACTTGTATCTTGGTATTTAGAACCAAATAGGCCAAGCTGTGGGCCTTTAATATTGAAACATTTTTAAATGTTGGGGTTTTGTTGTTTTTTGTTTTGTTTTTGTTTGTTTGTTTTTTAAAAAAAGGCTGACTGTGTAAGTGTGAAAAGAGTTTTCCATCCTTATGTAAGGCTGACTTCCCAACCTGATACACAGCTTCTTTTCAACAAAGGTAGTTTTATCATCCTTGGTATCTTATCTGTGTAGTACTCCATTTTACTTGCCGTTGCAGCCATTTTCCTATTTAGAAACATCTACAGCATATTATTAGCTGAAAATTTTACACATTTCCACAAAGATCCTTTCCTTGTGCTGTCCCTCATGAACATAGTCTCTTTTCTTTGTAGTATATGCCTCCTGCAGTTCTGTGCTTTGCCCCATTCCAGCCTTCCCTTGCTAGTTCTCTCCATCTCCCAGGCTGCTTCAGCTTGGTGAATAAAACGCTTCAGACATCAGCAAAGGCCTGTTGCCACACTTTGGGGTTTGGTGGTCTCCTCTATACAGATTAGTTGAGTCCTAACCTCAACTGAAATCCAGTGCTTTTAAAGTCTTAACATACTTACACCAACAGTACTTCCGTAAAAAATAAAAGGGATACTTGATTATAACACAGGAGTACTGACTCTCTTACAGGACCTAGTCCGATCTAAGAAAAATGTCTACATATCTACTCTTAATTTAGCTGTAGCATCAGTTATAACCTGCATACAGTCAATGAGTCCATCTTACAGAAACTGTAAGACCAGTAAATTTAATTTTCAGGGCCTTACTAATTATACAGCCCAAACATGCCTTTTTAGGTACCTGCCTCCTGCTCCTTCCCATCACAATCAACAATGATTCTTCGTAAGTTAATTGAGAACAGTGCATCTTTTAATTTAGAAATGTAAATGCCAGCTGATTTATCTGGATATAGTGCTACATGGTAGCCCCCTTTGAGGGCAATAGAGGATTTACCTATTATCTGACCAATTAATGCCATAAGCTATAATAGCTTGATAATGGAAGAACTGTTAATAAATGATGCGTTTGGTATATATCTGCTTTATTTGCATTGTGGAAAACATAGGCCCAGCTCCAAAACCAAACAGAAATCTTTCAATACTGATTTGCACATAGGTTGTTGGTAAATGTAACCTTCAGCCTAATCTTATTCCTTTAGCCTGTTCTATAAGAAAATAAAAAAGTCCCCTGGACCTTACAGGATTAATCAAGATGCCTCACAAATGTTGATATTATTTTAAAACAGTTGCAGTAACTATAAGAAATTAGAAATTGTGTTCATTAGCATTTTTTGTAATGCTTGTACTCCAGTATGCAATTGCCATTAAATAGTTAGAGTGAATTTAGATTATCTGGGAAACTAACATGGCTCTTATACAATAAGCTGTTCTCAGTGTCAGTCTGATTTCTGCTGCTGGCTTTTGCTCTCAGTTTAAAAGGCAAACACTAGTATTTGATAAATAGAGAAAAAAAGTGAGCTGAATCATAGTTTTGATTAAAAAAACAACCCCAGACAAAAAAACAAGCTTCCATAAGAATTTAGGCGAGTCTGCTTTACTTTTTTTTCCCCTTCTCACAGACTTAAAATGGAAACCAGAATAGGCTAGTTAGCCATCTTAGTGCTGCTCTTGTCCTGTTTTCCTTCCCTTCATTATTCCTTCTAACTAACTTTTGGCTTTCACAGCAGTATTTTCTAGGACTGTCACGTGCTCCAGAGTTTGTTGGGCAGTCTTGATCTACACTCTTGTGTCCCAAATGTTTGCTATATACCACTGGAATTCTGTCTTACTTTACAAACTGCTGTATTTTGTTGTGATTTAGCTTGCTTAGCCGAACATCACGGTTGAACATTTGTCCTGCCAAACAGAAATGAACTCTTGACTGTTCTGGCAGAGTTTTACAATGTTGTTGGCCTGATCTTCTGAAGATATTGTCTACATTAGCCTAGTGCTCCTGATTGTCTGAAACTGCCACCAACTGCAGCAGAGTTAAAACTGATAGTGCTAGTGTAAACCAGGTAACTGGCACTCTGATTACTGAGTGATCTAGAATATATTACAAACCAGTCTGGTCAAAATTATCAGTAGCTACACGAACAGTGCTTATGTCACCATCTCCAATTACTGGTACCACAAGTGAAAATATTACCATGGAAATACCAGAGGCAAGAAATAACAGCTCATGAACAGACTTGAAATTGAAAGGAAGGCGTATCATACCTGAAGAGGTGACTGAAGTTTTTTTCTAGCTTACCATTATTTTTCAAGTGCCTCTTAGTTTGATACAGTCATCTTCAAACAAATTAACACAAAACCTTTAGAAACAATTAAATTGAACTTACCTGAAATACAAACATGTGTCTGCCCGCAGGAACAGGTCCTACTAAAACAGAGTCTAACACCTGATCATACTCTTCGCTTTCAGCTGAACCCACATAAATTATTTTCCATTCCAAATCTACAACAAACCAAAAATAAGAACCAAACAAAAACATTATTTATCATTACAGTTAAGGGTCTTCCACCCTTGCCTATCTACAGTTTTGCATAGGCTAAAATTGCTTCTTCAGCAACAGGCCTAAAACAACAAGGACCCATCTTCATTGGGTAAATTTATCAATGCCTGCTCCAGTCCTCACGAACCAGACCACCCCATCATCACTCTCTAGTCAGTCAATACCACAGGAATCCCTCTATTTTCATAGTCAGGTTAATTTTCAAATTTTGTACAGAAGACAGGACCCATTTACTTGTTGGGAGTCATGTTCAGCATTTTCTCTGTCAGAATGGCTGCAGCACCAGGATAACGCCTATGTATGCCTCTAACATGCTTTGAATACTGACTCACCTCCCCAAAAGAAATTCCCACCTTCCACATATACACCTTACAGTTTAAATTATACTGATCACGGAAGGTAGTTAATTGAATAAGAAAACCCATTGTATAAGCACCAGGCACACCAACTGTATGCCCCTCTTCCTTCACATGTAACTTGTACAACCTGAGAAGTATGTAAAATTGTGATAGCATGATTAGATCATATTCTCATCAAAGATATTGCTGCTTGGATTTTATCCACATCCTGAAATGGAACTACAGGCAAAAAAAATGTAAATGTAGCATTTTGCATCAAAGGAGTGCACCAAAATCGAGCATTCCTTACAATTCAGTTTTTTCTAACTCACCCTCTCCACCACAGGTGTTTGAAAGGTGAAACTGCCAATTAGCAGCACACATTAACTCTTCCTGGGCCAGCTTTTTTCACTTTTATTTTTTGATTAAAAAACACATGCATAAATACACACATGGAACTGATCTTAAAAGCAAGATTTTTTTGCTTTTTAAACAAGAAAAAAAAAGATCACAATTGCAGAAAACGATGACTAACACTTTTCTAAAAACTGAAACTGTTACTTAAAAACATACATGGTATATTTCATATTTTTTCCTTATGAACAACGCCCTGATTTTCTATGCAAAAGCACAAACCCATACCCTATTACATTTACTTTATTACTATGCTCTGCAAAATCCAAAGGTTTACATTATTTGATCCATACTGTACCTTCTAACCTGGTATTCTATGACAAAGGTTTCTTCATGCTGGAATGGAACTTAAGCATAACAAAACAAAAAAAAAAAAAAAAAAAAAAAAAAAAACAACAAAAAAAACCACAAAAAAAAACAAACCACAACTCAGATGCTTTAGGATTGCAACTCTCTTTCCTCATTAATAAATTCTTGCTTATCGTCCTTAACACTGGTGCAGGTTTTAGGGGTTTAAGTAACATAACTAATAGGGTCTGGGAAGGGATTTTACTCCTCTGTTCAGCACAGCACAACTAGCCAAGTAGCATATCAGAGGTTTTATTTACCTTTAAGCATGTAGTACTAGCTACTGCCAGTATTGCAGGCTACTCATCCAGGACAATTAAGGACCTCTCTTGTCAGCCTCTGAGTGTTAAGTTACTACTTAAAAGAAATCAGGACTTTTAGGCTAAACTACTTAATCTTATCACACCATCCTGGGCCATTATTCTAGAACTATATAAAGTTCATTCTAAACCAGTAGTATTTAGTACTAAAAAAGTGGACTTTTAAAAAATAAAGTTTTAAATTATACGTTTAATAGGTTGACCCAAATTCTGTTTAGGTATCTGGATATGGAGTAACAACTTTTAAAAAAAGAGGGCTGGAGTTCATGAGTTTAATTTTAAGATCAATGATGCACAAGACTGGCTGAAGAAGAAACAGCACAGTAAATAGACATATTGGCACGTGAAAGCTAAGGCAACGGCTGCAGATTTTTCATCAAGACTAGAAAGGCTAGGTTTGATCTTACTTTAAAATGTGAAAGATAGCAGCGCTCATCCTGAATTTATCCTGTAGTCTAACCTGCATTTAGGTGGGGGAAGGGAACTGAGAATTTTGCATTAGACCATCTATAACTCCCCCTCATCCCTATTGTCCGGGATTAACTCTAACATAAATCCCGAGCGAGAGGAGCACGTCACCTACAGCCGTGCACGACTGGCAGGGAAGGCACCGACACCTTGTGCCGAGCACCGCCGCCTCCCACGGCCGTCGAGGGGCCTGGTGCCGCATTTCGGATGAGGCCAGACCGGAGGGCTCCCGCCAGCAGCCCGGGGGTGCGCACAGAGCACACCCCGCCCCGGGCAGCCCCAGCGAACGAGTCGGCCGGTTGTGAGAGGGCAGAGGCCTGGAGGAAACCCCAGGCTCAGGCGAGGCTTCCTCTGAAGTTCCCGCCAGCGCGACGCGACCCTCCCCTCCCTCCCTCCCTCCCGGCGGGGCCGGGCCGGGCCGGGCCGGGCCAGCCCTCCGCGCCGAGCGGGCCGGCACCAGGCCGCCGGCACCCTCGAGTAGAAACTGCTACGGAAGCAGGCAAGGCGAGGCAAGTTTAACCGCCGCGGCAGGGAGCCTGTCAAGCGCCAGCACCCGCCACCTCCGGGTTTCCTCTCGCCCCTCAGGTCGCCGGGGCTCCCCGGCCGGCGCTGGTCTCCGCCGGCGGCCAGGCCCTGTCCCCTTTCCGCTAAGGGACTGGCGCCGGCCGAGCGGCCTCCTCCTCTTCCCGGAGCGGCAGCTGCTCACCCGCACCGCCCGGGCTGCCGGCGGGCCGGAGCGCCCCGCTTCCCCTTCCCAACCCCTCCCGCCGCCTTCCTCGCCCCGACGTTCAAAACTCCCGCCCGAGGGGCGGGTGACGCGCGGCCTCTCGGGGCGGCTCCCGCGGAGAGCGGCGGCGCGGCCTGGCGGCGGCGCTGCGGAGCGCCGCCGAGGCGCAGGCGGTTCGCGGCCCGCCCGGCTGAGGAGAAGGCGGGAGCCCGCCAGCGGCGCGGCGCGCCCCTCGGCGGGGAGGGCGACCGGCGCCCCAAAACTCAGCCGGAGGGGTGCTGGGGGGTGTTGGTCCCCGGCGGGGCGGCTGCAGGGCGGGGGCGCCGCCGGGGCGGCCGCCCCCCCCGCTGGCGGCTGCCGGTAACTTTCGAGTGACTTCCAAAAATAGTGGCTGGCGGCGGGCCCCCTCCCCCACCATTAAGGCTCCCGCAGCCAACGTACCGCGCCGCGCCGCCGCGCACCCACCGCCACCCGGGGGCGAGCCCGCCCGCCCCTGCCTGCCTCAGCGATTTTAAAAAAAAAAAAAAAAAAAAAAAAAAAAAAAAATTTAAGTGTTAAAATGGAGCACGAGGCCAAGGAAGCGCTGGCTGCGGAGCGTTTTCCGCGCAGCGAGTACCGCTCGGGCGCAGGCTCGGCGGCCGCGCAGGAGCCCGTCTCCCCGCGGGCGCGGGGATGCGCGGCCGCCGAGCCCGGTTAACCCTCTCCCTGTCGCGCTGCCGCCCCCCCCCCCCCCCCCCCCCCCCCCCACGCACACACAAAGCTGGCAACATGGCTACCACCACTCAAACAAGTTCCTCGCAACTTGAGGCTCGCCTCGCCGATGGCGGGGAGAGGCGGCCCCGGCGCGGCGGCCAGGGCGGGCGGACGCCGCCAACTTTCCCCGCCGGGGCTCGGCGAGAGCGGTTTTCCGGCGGCGGCTCGGGCGCCGGCGAGCACATCCCTTCGCCTCGGCACGGTGATGCGGCGAAGGAGAAAAACTGTTAAATTGTAGGAGCAGGCCTGCGCAAAGTTTAAGCCTTAAACCCCCAGAAACTAAGAGCCCGGGGTTACAAAATCCGTATCGGGAAAAAATCTACTCACCTTCCGACAGGTCCTCTATGCACTCAAATGTGATTTCGAATTGGAAAGGATTGTAGAAAGGAGAAGGATTATCCAACACCACTACATTGTTCACCTGAACCTTTGCCATATTTTGAAAAAAACACAAACAATAGGAAGAGCGTGTTAACGCAGCACAGTAAAGTCCAGTGTGTTCGTTTTTTGCAACGCACAAACCCCCGTGCCAGTGCCCGGGCGAGACTGCAGAGCGGCGACTTGCAGAAACTTTTCTTTTCCCCCTTTTATTTACACCAGGAACACTCCGCACTGTTTGCAGCTTTCCTATTTCACTAAACTACAGCCCATTCTGCCCTGCTCGCCGCCAGCGCCCGCCCGGATTGGCCGCACGCCGGCCGAGGGCCCTCCCTCCCGAGCGCGGCCGCCGAGCGGCAGCAAGATGGGCCCCGGCGGCCCGCGGCGCCTCGCCGCGGCGCCCCCGCCCGGCGGCGGCGGAAACGGGCGGCCCGGCGGCGGCGGCGGCTCCGGGGCGGGGCCGGGGCCGGGGCCGGGGCGGGAGGGAGGGAGCCCAGCCGAGGCACCCGCCCTCCAACGGCTTCGCCCCTCCTCGCCCGTGGGGCTCCGCCATGTGCCGTGGGGGCTATGGTGGGGGGATTTTTAATACATTTTTATTTTTTTTTTTTCTTGTTATAGGCAGCGGTGGCCGGGGAGAGGCAGCGAGCTGGTTTCGCGAGGGCTGGGTGCTGATGGGGGCTGCACGGGGGCATTTGCCTCTCGAGGGGCCAGCCCCGGCAGGGGAGCCGCAGCCGTTGCTGGTCAGCCCCGCGGCACCGACCCCGTGGCCGTAAGGCAGCCCTGTGGACAGGCCGGTGCCTCGCTCGCTGGGGTGCTCCCCGAATACGAGGCGGCTCGCTGACGGGGTGCTGGGCGCCCTGCGCCCGCACAGGCCTCCCTTCCGCCGCCATTCCACCTGGCTGCTGCTAGCGAGGCCACCCACCGAGGGGCACGTGGAGGGACCGGAGTGTCTCTTTTACACAGCCGTGGTGCTGTCAAGAGGCTGTCCCAGTCCTTTTTACACAGCCGTGCTGTCAAGAAGCAACCCCATTCCTATCTTTGTAAAGAAGGGCCTAGGTGACATAATCAGACTGTGAAACAACATGTATCCCTGTGCAGCAGCAGGAAGCCCAGAGAGGAGGCCATCTTGTGCAGCTGCAAGAGGCCTGTAGAGGAAGCCATCTTGTGCGGCAGCAGGAGGACCATGGAGGAGGCCATCTTGTGGCTGCCACACACAAGGGATAGGGAGGAGTGGCATAGCACTCTAGCACCAGTTTACATGCTCAGGGCTGGTGGAGTGTGAGCTGTGTACCCTCACTACAAAAGGAGATTATGTGTGGAAAAAAATACACAAGCCAGGCTCTAGTAGTGCCCGTGGGTTGCCGGTGAGTGCAGTGAAGTGATGCACAGCAGGAAGGCATGCAGGAGCCATCTTCCCCCCCCCAGCATGGAAGGGCCAAGCCCTGCTGGCGGGAGCCGAGTGCTGCCAGATCTGCAGCGCAGTGCTGAGGCACGGAGGCCCTTGGCCTTCAGCAAATCTCCAAGCCTGTGCCAGGTTTGGAAAGTAGATGGCACTTTTGGTTTGCATATACAGAGGAATGTCACCATCAGATACTTGCCTCATGTGTTGCTCGTTCCACTTCTTAATAGCATTCTCCTTATGTCTGACACAAGGCTACAAGTTATTTTGCTTTTCTATATTTCTGCTCTATGATTGACGGCCCGAATTGTTCAGTGCAGAGTCCAGGAAACCACAAAAGATTGGACATGATGGAGGAGATTCCTCACAACAAGTTACAGTCCACGTTATGTCATCGGGAAGCAAATTTCCAATAACTTTTTGCTGTCCATTTGGGAGCAAACGGCTGCTGTGGTGGGCTATGCAGCGATGAGAAGGCCTCAGCAGCCTCTCCTACCTGAACCAAGGGAAGTTGGGGGTGCATTCCTGGGCAAGTTTTGTCATAGCATTACAGGAAATTTTAGGCTGGTTGCAGCTTGTCAACTACTAGGATATTTTGAGCTGAACACTAGAGTGAAAAAGGAGGGCTAAAGATAGAGAAGAAGCTGGGAAATAGGGAATAGAAGGTTTGAAAGGATCTGCGCATTCTTGATTGTGAGGGGCTGTTTTCTTGGTTGTGCAGTTTCTGACCTGCTGTGCTCCCCCAGTGTTGTATTGTGTAGATTTACTGGGAACCTTTCCCCCCATTTTATCCTTGGGCATATTTGGATTTTCATTTCTTCTTGATGCTAAGAGAGGCCCACAATCTCATAAAGGAGTATAATTGCCTCAGTTTAAGATGAGAATTCATCTCCACTTAGTGGAACCAGGAGTTAAATGACACTTGAAATAATATTTTTTTCCTAATTTTTGTTTTGCAGCTCCAAAATTTTTTGACTGTTTTAGTATTTGATGCAGTGGAGGAGCTTAGTGGATCCATTTTGTAATTTTGCGATCTTTGCGTTTGCCCTAACTTTCAGTTAGATCTCACAGATTTAGTCTTCTTGCCCTAATCTCTTTTGTTCAATTAACAAAGTCCTAAAACAGGTTACTATCAAACACAGGAAGCTTAACAAAATCTGTTCTGCAGAACCAGACTAACCTGCCAAACACCAGTGGGATTTCTTACCAGTAGGTGTAAAGTGAGTTATGTGGTAGAGGTAGGTGGTGGAGCTAACGTGCTGTTTTGCCTTCTGTCCGTGGCACAAGCCAGTTCACTGGGTCCCTTTCTTTCACTCAAGTGCACTCCTGCATTTTAAGAAAAAGACTGACTGAAGTAATTGATTCTTCAGGTTTGACAGTGACTGCTGTGAAGGACTTTGGGGAGTGGAACTTGGAAGCTGGAGCACTGGTGCTTGCAGATGGAGGCCTTTGTTGCATTGATGAGTTCAGTAGTATCAAAGAACATGACAGAACCAGTATCCATGAAGCAATGGAGCAGCAAACCATCAGTGTTGCAAAGGCAGGGTAAGTGGCATGTTACATATGTGATAAAACAATGTAAGATGTTTCTCTTGTACTTAGAAGTCGGAGGGAGGTTTACCATGGTGATTAAATATATCTGTTTTTTTCTGTTGTACTTAATAGTTTTGTTTTCAGCAGCGTAAGTCAGCATTTCAAAGGACAGTGCACTGGACCAGAGGTTGCAAGCGATCGGAATAAATATATACCGTCTTCACTCTTGGGTTTTCAGTCTACCACAGTAGGCCAGGGCACTTTCATCAGAAGGCGTGGTGTTGTCCTTTTGCTGCCAGTGGTCATAATAATCATAAGTGAAATAAGGAACTTTGTGAACTTTTTACTGGAACTCAGCAGGACTTCATTTCTCCAAAATCCAGCAATACTGCATGATAACAAAAAAAGACTAAGAGATGTTCAGACTGCTGAATTTTGTATGTTGGGCATGGCATGCATATAACCTCCTGCTTACTTTAAGTTCCCTTGCTTTCATTTTCAAAGTACGGTGTGTGTTCAGATCTGCTGTTTCCTCTCTTTCCACTTTGATCTTTGAGCTCATATTTCATTCTATCAGTCACATGCAGCTCTTGTCCAGGCCTAAATAATTTCCTGGCCTGTATTTTTGAAATCTCTGATGTTCAAAAGGCATCACCCTTTCCACATTCCCCCTTGTCACCTTCAACTCAGCTCTTGCTCCAGTCACATCTTCCTGGCTCCTGTAACGGATCATGTCCTTTCTTTGTTCTGAGCATCTCCACTGAAGCTCTCCTTACTCTCTCTGGCAGACAGTGGACAAGTAATGTCTCCCTCACCAGGGAGATTACTAGCCTTTGCCAGTAATGCAGCTGGGGGCAAATATTTGGAATCAGCATAGTCCTATCTACTTAATAAGATAGCAACGAATTTTAGCAGGGTTCCTTGTTGCAGTTGGTTGGGTTTTGTAGACCCCAAAATACAGTTTGCTGACATGCGCATATAGCCTTACTTTTAAGAACTACATATAATGAAGATTTTTTGAGTAGTAACTTAGTACAGATAGGTTAAGCACTTTGTTTATTTAAGGTCTTAATTTGGCACATGGGAGATAAGGGATTTTTTTTTTTCCATTGGGTATAAGCTAATAGAAGATCTGTGGTCCTTCCTCTCAGTTACAGAAGAACTTTGGACGTGAGGCAGTGGTTGCTCAGGAGCTGACTAGAAATAGCTCAGTGACAAACCAAAGTTAGAATACTTCTGCTGCTGCCTTAACTGAAAAGATTACATTTGGACTACTAGAATAAAAATAATCTCTCCCCACATCTAAAAACACATGCCAGGATAGTGTGGTTAAGAGAGGAAAATGGCTATTTCCCTGGAGAAACAGTTAATATGGCTGCCATCATTGGTTGGTTGGGTTCATTTTCGTAACATGTTTACACACAAGAATAAAACATATGTTTATATTATATTTTATTTTGCTTTCTTAGGATGTGAATTAAGCTAAGATGTTGCTTTCCATCATAAAAAAGTGCTTCCATACTATATAAATCAGCAAAGTAATGTTTATTTCTGAAAAGCTATGTTGGTTTTCGCCATTCCAGGACTCAGCTGTATATAAAGATTACTCATAGCAGTATTGCTTAATTACTTCTGGTATCCTGATCACTGTCTTTCTGTCTAGTTGCTGTTCCCTGACTGAGAAATTATGTACATAAAATATATATTAATACAATAATTGTGTATATTATTTAGTTCTTACGGTCTTTCAAGGTAAGACCTGCTCTTTCTAATATAAAAATATGATAACTTTTAACACTTTGGAATCACTTCCTCTACCCAATTTAATTCAATCATAATGTTCACCATACTTTTCTTCAGCTTGGTGTGCAAGCTTAATACAAGGACAACTATCCTGGCAGCAACAAACCCAAAAGGCCATTATGACCCTAATGAGTCCGTCTCTGTCAACATAGCTCTTGGCAGTCCTCTCTTGAGCAGATTTGACCTAGTCTTAGTATTATTAGATACAAAGAACGAGGAATGGGACCGCATCATTTCATCCTTCATCTTGCAAAATAAAGGTAAGAGTACTCATTTAAATTATAAGGTTTTTTTTGTTTGAGGTGTTGTTTTTGTTTTGTTTTTTTTTTTTTAATTTCCTCACCTTTCAGTTTAGTTTGTTATTCCTGAATCTTTTATACTAATCAGTGTTTACATTTTTGCTATGTTAGTTTCCTGTGGTACGGTTGTTTTTCAAGTAGGGATAGAGATCACTATTTAGTAGGGTCAAGTGGAGAACACTGTACTTTTACTTTGTGATCATTTACAAGAGATTTTGGCCCAGATTGCTCAGTAAGTGGATAGTTTCCATTTTGCACCTTTACATTGCTAGATATGCAGATCCCCCACACTATGCAATTGTACATGCTGTTCATGGGAAACTTAATTCAGACAGAACAAACCTGAGCTGCATGTGCTGCAAGGCTCGAAGAA